AATACTTGATGGAAAATATCTTTTCCTTGCTATGTATATAAGATGTTTGATATTCAGACATACTGTGGTTAAGCTCAACTGCTTATGTTATAGGGTAATAATATCACTAAGCTTCTCTTCTGGATGATTAAGAACTTAAGTTTGAAGACCAAAAACTAGAGAAAAAGAAGGGCTACAAGGACAGTCAACATTTTGACCCTAGCCTTTCAAGGTCAATGAGGACTCAGGACATAGGAGAACTTATACTGTAGCATCATGTAACTCAATGATGTCCCAAATTTCTGATCAAGGAGATTATGGGGCCACAGAGGAAAGTGATCAGTGATGTAGAGTGTGCCTAAGGAAAATCATATAGAGAGAAAACATTCTCTCATACTTTTACAGATAGCAAATTGTTCAAGCAATGGCTGTGACTCAGCCACATGGCTAACACTGACAAAGGATCTACAAACTGCGATACAGGGTTTCCCGTAAATCCTGAGGGGATTTAACTGACCTTATCAGATACAAAAGTTACATTTCTTGTTATATAGGTCTTGCTTTATCTTGGTCTTAACCAGCCAGCAGAAAAGTTTGATAATGAAATATGAAAAGTAAAGCCATATTAATATGCTGAGATGTAAAGGGCTCAAGTCAACAACTTCTGACATTGCCAGTCCTACAGATAACCCATTACTATTATGGCCTACTGGACTATATTGGATTAATTTACTGAATTCACACACCTACAATATTTAAGTGGCAATAGAATACCAATCTCTGACAAAACTAAACAAAAAAGAGGATACAAATGAAGAAGTATTTTCTATCTGCATTTACAAAATAGGATAAATATATAGCTATTTTCTCTTAATTCAATGAGAAGAAAGATTTGTACTAATAGTGTTTGGACACGATATCATGTCTGCATCTTGTACTATGAATAACCCCTATGAAGGCAGCAATATGCAATGTATTAATTATTCAAACCATCCTATTAGTTGCTTTTGAAACTGTCTCATTGCTATTTGTTTCTCAATAAAATTACTAAAAAGAATAACAACAACAACAACAAAAAGAAAACAATGCCGAATTTCAAAAAACAAGATTACAGGAATTCTACAGTTTGTCACATTGCATATTGTTGTCTTCAAAGTAGTTGTTCAGATTACTAAATATAAGCATGCAAAATTGGCAAAATACAATTAGACATTAGGGGCCAGAGAGATAGATCAGCCATCTAGTCACCTGGTTGGCAAGTGCAAGAATCTGGGTTCAGTTCCTGGTACTGCATGCCATGCTGGCTCCATGCTGAACCAGCCCCACTGAGACTGGGCATGGTGGTGCACCCCTGCAATCCCAGTGCTAGGGAACCTGAAACAGGAGGATCACTATGAGTCCAGGTGCATAGTGAGACTGTGTACCAAATAAACAAAAGAAGAAATATGACAATTTAGGCATTGACTATTTCTCTCAATCAACAAATAGAAATTAGTAATATAATTATCTTAGCTATCTTGTGTGCATCTATCTTTTTCCCTTCTTTCTTTTCTCATTTCCCCCATCCCAGTTGTTCTTTCCTTTTGAACAGTTTCTTTCCCTTTCATAATATCTATTGTTCCTTCTGTATCTTATTTACTCTTTCAAGTTCTTACATTAGGGAGACAATATGATATTTATACATGGGGGTCTGATTTATTTTACTTATGAGTATGTGTCTCTAGCTGCATCTGTTTACCTATACAAGACTTTAAGGTTTTTAATAGCTGAATAATACTCCATTGTATAAAAACGCCACATCTCTTTTATCCATTCCTTAATTGATAGGCATTTGGGTTCTTTCCAAGACTTAGCAGTGACAAATTGCACCGGGTACACATATATTGCTGTGCTATGATGTTTTCAATTCTTCTGGGAGTATTCTCAGATGGGAAATAGCTGGGTTGAATGGGACCTCTATTGAGGGTAGATCTAGAAGCATTAGCCAGAGCAATTAAACAAGAGAGAGAAATAAAAGGAATAAAAACAGAAAGAAGTTAAATTATCATCATTCACAGATGACATGATACTATATGTGGAAGACCCCAAAAGTTCCACCAAAAGATTCATAGAATTAATAAGTTCAGTAGCATAGCAATATGCTGTATTATTAAATTCATGAAAGTTTTAAGTCTTTAGTCCATACTAGACAGTACTTTATCATTTTTATTAATAGTTTACCATGATTAAGCATTCTGGTTCTGCTAGACTAAAAGAAAAGAGGAACCGTAATTGAACTGTTGTATGAGTGTTAGATTTTGTAGGCATAGGGTAAGGGGGGGG